ACTTTGATCTTAAAAAGAAATTTGGACCTGGACCAAAACTTCCGTGATACACCAAACACTGGGGGGGGAGAGTGAAGCCCCGAGGTAGGGGATCGTAGATATTTTGTTTTTGATTGATTTTATATTGCTTTCACTAATACAAACCGATGCAAAAGGGGAAGAAGGGATAAAATTTGAGGTTGTTCTTGTTCTTGTTTCTTGGGTTTTTTCGAAATCTTTCGATTTCTGCGAAACGCCTGATTTTGCAGCTCCAATCTTGACCCCTTTCATTGACCTTTGTCAAAAGTTGTCATGAACTTCGTCCCAAGTGAAATTGGATGTTCGTCAAAATTGTTCGGTGGTCGTGAGCGTTCGTCCTAACTTAGTATTTTAGTGGGACGTTTCTGAACGTTCGGCCTTGGTATCAAGACAACGTCCATAGGTTTAAGTATAGGTGTCGGCCTGCTTATTTTATTACATTGGTCTTCTTAATTGAGCAAAGTATTTTCTGAATGTCTACTATCTTCTTGGTCGTTCGTTGTTAAATTGTGGTATGGCAATAGGTTTCATTTTTGAGCGTTCGTGGTTAATCTTGGTATGCTGTAGCGTTCGCTTAATTCGTATAATCGGCTTGAGATCTTAAACGTCCGCTGTGTTGAAAAGTGATATAGCGTTCGTCTCCAAATGGTGTCCGTCCTGATGTTGAACGATAGGTTTGGTTTAAGTTAGATTTTTGAACGTTCGGGCCTGAGATTTGGGAGATCACGTTTCTCCAGTTTCTTTTTTGACTTCTGTCAGTTTTCCGCTTCAATTTTCTTCTTCTTTGTTCACTTCTTTTCACTTTTACTTTGTCAAGGAAGCTGGTTCGTAGTCCTGATTCTTTAGGTGAGCTTCAGAACTTTTACGTTCTGTCGTTATGTTTCAGGAAGCGATTACCGAATAATTATTTATTCGTTCATAGAAGGTCAAGGCGTTCAGATAATTCCATAATCAAGCGTGTCCTAAGTGTATGAGCGTTCGTTCTTAAGTGCTAAATGAGCGTTCGTCCTTAAATGTGATAGTAGCGTTCGTCCCTCATTGTGAGTGTCTAGTTCGACCTTGGTTAATATAAGCTGGTATTCTTAGGTTTGAATATGGAACGTTCGGTTTTGATGTTATTAGTATACGTTCGATCGCCTTAGTGATTTATGCGTTCGATCTGGATCAGGTGTTCTGAGGTTTAGATTATTAGGTTCGGTCAATATGGAATTATATTCATCGTTCGACCTATAGGTATATTTTCTAGCGTTCGACGCAAATAGTATCCAGTTCAATGATGTTCAGAAATACGTTCGTCTTGGTTACGTTCGGTCTAAGTACTCGATTATAGCGTTCGACGGATTAGTGTTTTGATCAAGTGAGACGTTCGGTAGTAGCGTTCGGCCGAATTGTGGGTACTCGGTTTAGCGTTCGACCTATTGAATCTCATAGCGTCCTTCCAATTAGTATAGTAGTGTTCGGCAGTTGTATTTGGTGAATGGGTTCGTCAATAGTGGTGCTACAAATGGTAATGGTTCTAAGTTCACTTTGCTGTTGTTTGGGTTGGAATTAATTGTGCAAAATGTTTGATGTGATTTATGTGAAAAGTATGTGAATGCCTAGATATGAAGATTACTGTGGCTTAATTATTGTATGATGTTGACATGAAAATTTTGCACTTATAATGGAATAGTATTATGGGTAATTTTGTATTGGTGTTGTAGTTGAGGAATATGGTATAGTATGAATCGCATGAGAGGTTCTGAAATGTTATGCTTTTAGTGTGGTATGTTGATGTTGAGGGTCCCGTAGTTGTGGTTATCCTACACTCTAATAATCATCCGTCTCAAGTAGAGAAGGATGAATTAATGTTGGTGGGGAGCAGGAGGTCCTGGTCTATGTGCCGTTTTGGACATAGTGGAGGGGACTAACCTTGGAATGGTATGAGTATTTTGGAAGTGTATTTGTAAGAAAAGTAGAAGTCATCACAAGTGCATAACCTCCCGTGACCGCTCATCAACCGTATCATCCGGATGAGTGTCTTTTTTGGGTATTGTGGTGTTTCAGTGGTATTGTGGGGATGAGTGTCTGTAAGAATTGTTTATGATGTATATGAGGATGTCCTGTCGTAATTTTTATATATGTGCCTATATTACAGTCAAATTTTTCATGTTTTATTAAATTGTGGGTTGTATGTTTTTTTTTTTAGCTCACGCCTTACTTATTTGTGCATGTATCGGAAAAATCATATTTTTGCGATGATCGTATAACGTATTTGTTATACGGGAGCAGATGAAGGATTGTCTTGTGATCCTGTGCAATTGAAGAAAGAGATGGAAGACCAAATTAGAGAGATTCAATGTTATAGTTTCAATTAAAGTCTGATGCATAAAATTTTTGTATAGATTTATGTATGAGGTTACGGGGGTTACCGTAAATGTATTATTACCATATTCAAATTCTGAATTTTTAAGGGCGAATTTATGGGATGTTACAATACTAACTCTTTCTACAGCAAAAACCAAAGAAGAATGAAGTAACCGAAACTGCACCAACATAAAGAGTCAAGCTGCCAATACACCACTCCAAACTGCACACTCGGAACAATACTTCTATTTAGATAATACTCAATCACTCTCAAGAAAAAAAATATTATCAAAGTCCAGTGAAGAGTTGTGAAAGAGCCGTATGGTTTCTTTATAAAAAAAATGGGATGCAAGAGGTGTAGGGGTGAGGGGGTGCAGGAATGAAAGGTCGAAGGAGTGCAGGGGTGAAGGGGTACAGAGGAGCAGAATGCATGTTTCTTAATTGGTGGAAAATAGAGGTGGAGTCAATGGTGGTACGGAAATTTTCAATAATCAAAAGATTAAACTTTTAAGCCATTTATTAATTAAGGACATTTTAGGAAATTGGAGGTGCAGGATGAAATCCTTGGAGGTGCAGGATGAAACACTCTTTTCACAATACTATTATTATTATTATTATTATTATTTATTATTATTATTATTATTATTATTATTATTATTATTATTATTATTATTATTATTATTATCCAATGATTTTGTAAAGTATAAAATATTTTTTATTTGGTTGAAATAATAGGAAAATGTTGGCTTCCAAGAGTAGTTTTGGTTTGACTGTTGAAATATAAAAAAGCGTTTTATACTTTAAAAATCATAGGAATTAAAGACGAAATTAAACTAAGCTAATCAACTACATCGGCCTGCATTAAATTCTGCACAGTTGTATCATGTGAATAAACAGATAGAGGAAAGAAAAAATAGTTTGTGTTAATGAAGTACTATTATTTAATAATAAGTTATTATATAATAAAGCTTTAATTACTTTTTTAACAACTATTCATTTAATTTTGTCTTATTGTTAATAATTGGATTAATTTGATCTTTTAAATTTTAAATCTACATGATTCAGTTTTTTAATTTCTTTAAATCGATGTGATGGGCTTCTCCTCTCTAAATTAATAATCATGACAATAGTTTAAACCATCACTTAAAAAGTTATTAACTACAAATTAATTAGTTGCAGTGGAAAATTGTCATTATATTTTCTAACGTTTAAAACTTTTACCAATTAAAACTTTTAAAAGCGTAAAATCAATTCGGAGGAAATAACTGGTTTAAATCAATGTAAAAAGCAAAGAATCAAATTGAATTGACCTTTTTATTAACCTAAATAGAAATTTGGATGAAATAATGAACAAGTAAGGATAAACAATAATTAATACTATAATAATTCTTTTAAAAAATTATATTAATATGTTACTCCTACTAACTTATAAATGACAGGTAATCTGAAAGCATTAAAGTCTTAGAAATCCCACATACCACCAAATCTGCTCTTGTTAAAGTTGAACTGTCCACAGCCCAACCAATAACTATCCATCCAGCTTAATTATACTTAAATTAGTTATTATTATTATCATTAAGATCATAGTTTAAAATAAATGCTAACAACTATATTTCGCCAAAATGACAGCAATTTCCCACCGTCACTTCCCTTTCAGTTCCGCACCATTTCTCTTGTTTCTTTTCACAAAAAAGGCAACGGACTATTTCTGTTGTTTCTTTATCAATACTACTAATAATTTCCATTCATACCAAAAACTTATATTTTTTCTTTCTACTTTTGATATAAATATATGCACTACAATCTTAAAACCCTCATCGAGCAAAAATGGTCTAATTACTTTGTATTGGTTATTAAGGGAATATTCATTAAAGTTTTATATTGAATAATATGACAAAGGAAAGACACAAATTTAATATGTGGTGCAATAAGTTGAGAGAATCACTTCTCTCAACTGTCTCCATTAAAATTGATGGCTAAAAACACAAAAATAAAAGAGTGATTCCATAGAATAAATAGAAACTTTGTATTGAAATCTTATTAGTTTAAAATATTCCTTAGTTCTCCAATTTCTACTAAGTGATGCAATTAGATTTAAAAAAAATGAGGAAGAAATTGAAAGAAAAAAGAGAAAGAATGGCTTGAGAGAGAGAACGTGAGAGAGGAGAAAATAAAAATGACGAGAGTGATGTTTATCCTCTTTTTTATTTTTATCATTAAGTTTTTTATACACGTCACAATTTAACTTTTATTTTTATTATAAAAGTTAATTATATATAATGTTAATTAATATTAATATTAATATATTACAAGAAAAAATCTGATTGAGGCAATTTTGTGTCATATATTTTAGGTTTTAACCAAATTAAGTTTGAATTTGCATGAATTTCAATATCAAAACGCGATCACACAAGGACAAACTTAACTTGTATAAACTTTTCTCTTGCATGGACAACATTTTCCCATGTTTTGAAAACAATGAAACAAATATTTTCCTTCAATAAAAGTTTACTTTTCTTGTTGTTTGGCCACTTGTTAATTTTCTTTTCATTGATATAAAAGGAAATGTTTAAAGTGACAAAGCAATGCATTTATATATATATATATAAAAGCAATCAGAATGGCAACTTGCTAGCTTGGTTTTTGGCTTAATTTATGCCATGAATTAATCACTGAATGTGATGGATTTTAACATCGAAGAAACATCAGAAATGTTATACAGCCAGTTCAAAGAATATAACCACAGTTATGGCGAGTGTGATGTTCAAATAATACAACAAAAGAAGAAGAAAACAACTTGAGAAAAACACTTTTTGACTGAAGAGTTTAAATTTCTTTTACTGTGTGAATCTTGACACTGGTCTTAAGCCATGTTTGAGTGCTGCTTCCCACACAAGATCAATTCTGTTAACATCTATGGCCCCAACTTCGTGATGAGACCAACCTTCAAGGCTGTGTACCACTCCCCCCGCATGACAGGCATGAACGACTCCTCTATCCATTGTGTACTGCATTCATAATAACTATGACTATTAATTGCTTAATAACAGATATAAGAACTGTATATCAGATGACAGAAAACGAAGGAGATGAGACAGATACTGCTAGAGTTGGTAACACTCACCTCACAGCAACCAAGTCCTTCCACGTCTTCTGGCAATCTCATGGCAGCCAGATCACCGTAAGTGCAATCTCTTCTGAATGATAAAATGGGTGGGACAACAAATTGATGAAAATGGGTTCCACGTGGGGCCCAATATTGTTCTCTTGGCGTAATCCACTTACCAACTATCCAGGTCTGCATTAAGACAAGTAAGCACATGTAAAGTTCATGCTACAGAATAATTTCTCTTTCAATAATAATTATACCATATGTCAATTTCCTAAGTTGCACCAAAATCAAACCACGTGTGTAAATAGTAAATAGTGAAGGAGTAAGTTATGTCGATTTGTCACCAGCAAAGTTTTTCCAAGTTATATTTTCATGGTTGTACCTTGCAGTTTTGTGCAGCTTGGTATTTTGTCACTTGGACAAGATAGCTCTGATATTCCAGAGGAGCTTCCTTTTGGATCCTCTGAAATCTATCTGTTGAAAGAGTTAACATCTGCAAAGTAGCTCTCAGCGCATTAGCTATGGTGATTAAATAAATCAAGAATCATGAGACTTCTGCTTCACCAGAATTAACCACTATTATCAGCATTACTTGAATTAGCATCTGTGTAAAAATAATAATAATAAAGTTGGCAATGTCTCATTAATTTACGTGCATAATTGATTAAAAGGGTCTCCGTGCCTACCCTCACCCTCTAATCAAACGGCGAAAAGGTTCCATTTCTCAGAACACCAATTTCATTTTCACAGCATCTATATGCATAATTGATAGGAAGCTATGATCTATGATGTTGATATACTATAAATCCACCACTGAAACAGGAGGGAATCCTAAATAATAAGTCTGAACCTAATAGATGCTAATATATGACAAGAATTTAATAATGACCCCACAAGTCCTTATCTTACTTCAGCAAAGTTAAAACAGAACTAAATTAATATTATAAATACTATCCTAATATTTTCATATTCTATCCATATTCAAGACTGCCCTGGAATCAATCAAACAATGAAAGGATCTACTTTCACTGCACCACAATTCCACTTCATCTTTTACCATCCGTTACTGTTGAACCAGATACTTTTGAATGCTTTCTCCAAGCAATTTTTTTTTTAATATTGCATATCCTACTGCGGTATTTTTTCCTTCTGTCTGTATCTTTCTTTATTTATCATTTTTTTTGCTTATTTTTATTTAAAAAATAAATTAACAAAAAATAACTAGATATTAGACGTCTTCCTAGCAAGAAAAGTACTTACTCAAGGACAAATGAAAAATTTCACTATTAGTAGTTCAATTTGATTAATTTTTGAAACCAAAGTAGGAAAAGAAAGGGTAAATGCTGTAAAAAGCACAATAGAATGAAAGTAAAATGGTAAAAAATGGGGACTCTGAGAAAATTTACCAGAACTTTGACTTTCTTTTGGCAAAGGTAAAGAGCAATTGCTCTTCCGAGCTTGGAAGTAGCTCCTGTTAGGAACACCTCTTTCACATCTTGATGGATTTCATTAAGTATAACAGCAGCGGTTAACGTGTTCCCATGAACAACTCGAACCCTAAGGTTTGGGTGCTTGTCCACAAAAAGCTTTCCACCCCCGTTTAGCGATTCATTCTACATTCAGTGAGTAAATGATTCAAGTTAACAAAGTTCTGACCATTAATGCTAAGCTGAATGTCTGATAAAATATTTACTACTTTCATTTTATTTATGTATAGCTCCACCGAAAATGGGAGGCCATGTGTAATTTGTTTCGGATGTTACAAAAGAGACCCACCATTCCTATTCAGCATTTATTATGTACGTACTACTACCATGGATGGCATTCAAACCTTCACCAACTATGCTCAGAGAAGGCCAGATCGAATTAATCATCCAAGTTCGATTTACTACGCTGGACGAATCAAATAGCTAGAAAAAAAAGTTCAATATGTCAGACCTTATTCAATGCAGCAAGGCTAATGACTTTAACCCCAATTTTATCGGCCCTTAGGATGGCTAGCTCAATTTGCTTATTGATCCCGTCAGTAGCAAATGGCAAGAAATACTGCAAAAGTGGAAAAAGACAAAGAAATAAATAAATATTCATGGTGGAAAAAGAAAAGTGAGTACAGCTTTCTGACTTATATGGTTCAACCTGAAAGCCACATCGAGGTACGACCCATGTTTGGTGCAATCTTCCTCTCAGATTGTAGAAACTAACTAAAAAGGTCTTGGACCAAACCCACATTGCTAGCAAAACTAGAAAAGCAACGGGCCAGCCAATGACCAAGAAGAGCCTTGTTGTGTATGGCAACGAAGCAAAGGATCTCAGGACGAATTGAACATGCATAGAGGATGACACATCAACAATATGAGCCAGGAAAACAAAGTGGGGTACCCTGTCAACGTTTCCTGCAATGATAATTGACAAGTGACGGTAAAAAAAATTTGCATGTATATGGTAAAACTCTACTTCATAACACAGAATACAGCTATTTTAAAGTTTCTATTTGTTATGTTGGGTGCCCATCTAGTATTGAAGTCAAAATGAACGAAAGAAAAACTAGAAGAAGTGATCGAATCATAGCACAGCTTACCTGAACCTGAACTTGATGTTTTGTGTGTTTGCCATGATTTTTTGTTGAGGGTACCGCCCAGTGCGTCAAAGAGAGGCATAAAGAGGCAGAAATTAGTGTCCTTGTCAGAGTGGTGCAGGCTGTGATATCTGCATAATAGCATGGAAAGAAATGAATGATACGTACAAGTCACAACTGCTTAGAAATGGACGTGAATAAAAGAATCGTATTTTGAACTGAGAGCTGGATTGGACCACTTTTAGGAAATGCATGCTCACTTAGTCATCCTCTCGGCAATTGCAACAACACATTGAAGAAAGCTAAATATGCACTATGCGGCAGAACTTAAATAGGTTTCCAGCCAAACATCTTTAGCTGTGAGCCTCAAACTCGTTGCCAAAAACTTGTTCAAATTCAACTCTCGGGGACCACTGGTTTACTTGAACTTCTCTCTTCACATGAGAGAACCCTAGACTGTTAGCTTTAGGTCTTTTCCACTCCCCTCTCTTAAGGGTACGGAGAAAGAGAGAGAGAAACACAAGCACAAAGTTATTCTTTAGGTACTCTCATGTAGCTTCGAAGGTTTATTAAAAAGTAGAAAAAATAAGTAAGGATTTTCATCTAATTATCTAAATCACAGTTCCACGACCGACTTTGTTCCAGCTCCATTATCCTTCACTTGTTTCGTTCTCTACCGACATTCAACTATGTCATAAAGAACACGAAGTGCCACAACTATTCAGCTACGGTTTCATTTGCATTTAGATCACGTACAGTAAATGCTTTTCACATGTCTTCTTAAAATTCTGACACGGATCAATGCGAGTTTTCTTGTGACATGTGTTACAATTAAATAGGTAATGACAGTAACTGAGAAATATATGAAACTAACGGATGTAACAGCTTTAAATTAACTTACGTTGGTGTGTATATCACATATCTAAGAAATTGGAATTTCTCGAACAACTGATGAGGAAAGATTTCAACATTGCCGTGGCCCAAGCATCTCAGGAAGTCAAAAATCAAAACATAAACATATGTCAAGCTTGCTGATCCATATCCCATCACAGAAGTCCCAAGGATAGGGATTCCAATGACTACCGTCAGAATAAGATGCTCTAAGAGTGTTGCATGTCCGGCTGTAGGAAATCAAGTCATGTTTCAAAAACAACACAACATTAACAAGTGGTTTGAAAAATGAGTAGAAGTTATTGCGAAATTCGAACGGATAAACACCTATTAATCTTCCTTTTGAATAATCGGATAGATCCAAAATCAGAATCTACAGGGGAGGATTAAAGTAAAGAAAGGAAATTGTGATTCTCACCGGTAAAAGATTCTGGTACTGGTGATGAATGGTGTAGTGAATGATAGTGGGTGAAAAGATAGTCTCCATGGAACTTCTTGTGCACCCAATAAAAAAGTGGCTCGGAGACTCCCACATGGAGAATCAAAGTAAAGAAAAGACCTTTTATATTCCAGATAGGAAGATGCTGAAGAAAGGGAAACATATAGCAGGCCATGGAGGCAACTAGTGTTTGAAGAATCAAGAAATTGTCCCTGATTGAAAAACAAATATATCAAGAGACACACGGTACATAAGAAACCATTTTCAACATAATGTAATTTTATTTGAACAAATGGAGGAGAGAAAGAAATTCCTTTCCAAGTTTTTTACCAGTCCCATTCTTTGTCAATCTGCTTGAAATCAACACCCTGTTGAAGAATCCGTCGATTTCTGGTGAGAAAAAGCATGTGGCTATAAGAACCCCAAAGGACATGAATTAGACCTCTGAGACCACTTAGTATGAGCAAATGAAGGCACCAGCTGAGATTGTAGTAGGAGTGTTCCTCGTTGTAGAACCATTCATACACGACTTTCGCCACAAACGGCCCATATAATAGATACTGTGTATATCCAATGAAAAACAAAGTAAGATCACACATAACCCATGTAAGAATTAATATAACAAAGAAAAAGGTACCAACATATGCAAATCACAGCTTGATTTTTCTACCTTGTACATTCCAAGGTTCTCCCATGGCCATGTTGATAAAGGAGCCCCCATTTCAGTGCACTATATTGTAATTAAGACTCTTAAAAATCTTTTACGCTATATTGCTTACAGTTGCACCTTTTTCCTTTGGCAAACGTAAATGCTCCTCCACACACTATATTTCTTTCTTCTGGGCACTATCTGCTTCCTTTAGTATTTTCTTTTTCTTCTGTATTTGCTAAAATACAACAGAGCAGAAACTGTGAAACAGCAGAAAGGAGAAATAACCAACGAGTGGAGAGATCCGTTTATGCAAGAAAGAGTTTCTTTATCCTTTCCTTTCTTAATTGCTAAGACTCTGTGTGAGTTTTAACCACAACTTGAAAATTTATTCTCCCTTCCCATCGCGTATTTATAAGAGTAGCGGATCATGCATTGAATCTTGAGGCCTACAAAATACGATACTCTCCCACCTGTCTTCTCATTACTGGGATATTAATTTTTTTCAATTAATGTCTTCTGCTCTATCAAAATATAAATAAAATAAAAAGATCCCTGCAAGTCGTACTCTTGATTAAAATCTTACATTTAAGAAAATCATGTTAAAAAAGAATGAAGACTTAAACTCAATTTCAGTCATAAATACATTTTTACTTGTCATAGTCTCTCGAAAGGGCCACCTTACAAATTTAGTTGCTTTTTTTTTTAATCAAGTAGGACACTTTAATATAAAGTATTTTCAGACGTAAAGAGAAGGTTCTTCTCTGTTAAATACTTATATATATATATATATATAATCTTTTACAGTAACCGTATATAAACTAAATTAGTATTTCTTTATTGTTAGTTTAGTGGTTAAGAGGTTTAAATATTTACGCAGACTCTCAGATATAACAAATTATTTCCTCCTAAGAAATCGGAACTTCTTTTATAGATCAACGGTGAGCATAAGTCGGGGTTGAGTTTCTCATTATTTTTATTGGATTGGTCAATTTAAGTCTTAATCTTACCATTAAAGATCTAAAATACGTATGCGCAAAGTATATTAATCCGACTTCATATATATAACATGTCGAATTTACATGACGTATTATTAAATTGCAGAACAAAAATATAAAAAGTAATTATATTTCGTAAATATATATTTTAAAATTAATAAATTTTTCATAAAATAATTAAAGGATATTAAAACAAAACGAAATTAAGGTAATTTGAAGCATANTTGGATTGGTCAATTTAAGTCTTAATCTTACCATTAAAGATCTAAAATACGTATGCGCAAAGTATATTAATCCGACTTCATATATATAACATGTCGAATTTACATGACGTATAATTAAATTGCAGAACAAAAATATAAAAAGGAATTATATTTCGTAAATATATATTTTAAAATTAATAAATTTTTCATAAAATAATTAAAGGATATTAAAACAAAACGAAATTAAGGTAATTTGAAGCATAATCCAAATCCATCTTAAAAGGTACATTAGATTATTTTTTAGGTTAAATATGTTTTTGGTTAGATTTAGTCATTTTAACCAAATTTTGTTAATTTTATTTAATGTTTTAAACACGTTTTTTAGTTAACATTAAAGTAAAAATGTGTCAAATGTTATAAACAACTCAAATATTATCATGAAATCGCTTGAAACATCAAATAAATTTAACAAAATTTAGTTAAAATAACTAATTTCACACATTTCTAAAGTTGAGAGACTAAATTAGATCAAAATTTTAAAAAACGACTGATTCAAATTTTTACTAAAAATTAAGGATAAAAAATATATTTAATCCTTATTTTTTTAACAAGTTTATGCGAAAATTAACTATTTTAAACATATTAATTGTGAATATGTGTAAAAAAGAACAGAAAAAGTTACAACTTAATTTTGACAAGGAAAAAAACACTCCTACCCTAAGATATTACACATTAAGAGATCACGGTTTTAGAAAACTTTGGGTACATTATTGTTATTATTGGACTAAAATATAATTTAGCTCACAATATTATAATTTTTTACAGTAAAAAAAAATCAAATAGAGATTTTGTATATTGGGTGGCATATATACGCATTTTGATGTATGTTGGTTTGAGTGAAAAGGTTTGAAAATTGAAATGTACGTAAAAGACAAGACAGCCCGCGCGTTGAGGTGTTGTTGTGATGGAGCAGATCTGAAGAGTAGAGTAAATGCCTTAGTTATATGGTTGGCAGCCGAAACAGTACCTCTCCTCAGATGTTAGATAAGGTAGGTTTGGAGTTGCCTCTCTAAATGCTCTTTTCATTATGAGACCACCACCATTGCATATACTCACAAAACTATATCCTTATATTTAATTTAAGATACCCTCCTCTTTTACATTTTTCTTCCTATTAGTATGGAAAACTCTATACTAATTATATAACTTTCTAAATTTAAATTTTCTCTTCTCAAATGTTTGTATTTCTTCAGACAAGGCTGTTTTTCTTTATTATCACTTGTACATAACTTGCAAACTACCCGAATGATAAACTAATAAAATGATGTACGATATTAACAGAACGATAACCTATCATGATGATATATGATATTCTAAGATAATGATGTACCGTGAGAATGATACATGATTCAGTGTTAATGCATATTAAAGTATAATTATATAGTTTCATTTGTAGTTGAAGTGGTACTTGTTCACAAGCAACCTATTCATAAACAAAATGAATATCTATTTTGACATGTGTTTAGTAGGTTGATTATAGATAGGATTTGCAAAGAAAAATATATAAATATGTTAAAATAAGTTTAAATTGCGAGTCTTTTCCATTTATTACGACTTCTAAGTTACATTGAGTTAAAAAAAAATTATTTTTTAAAATATAAGTTAAACTGAATTTGAGTTACTTAACTTAAGAGTTAAATGAGATTTAGACGAGTTAAACGTAGATTGACATATAACTATTAATAATAATTATTTTTTTATAATTATTTATTATTTTTAATTGTAACAGTTTGATTTTTTTTAAATATTATTTAATAAAATTTGAATGTTTAATTTATTTATTTGTCAAATTATATATATGTAAATATTTTAATTTTCAATATTTATTCACATAATAATGTTTTGATGAAATAAAAAAAACATTTTAATTATACTGTTAAAAAAATAAGTTAATAAGTTAAGTTAGTCCACTTTAATTACATCAAGTATCAAATCAAAGTTTTATTTTTCTCATTGATATGTTATAGACTTTTTATTTGCCTTGTTATAATATTATATAATGTGATGAAGAACTTGGCGAGACCATGCCTAAATTTTGAAGAGTTGAGCACATGTTACACATGGATTCTACAATTATAAATGATAAATATACGGTTCTTGATATTAAATATAATAAAAACTAGATGGAGGAGATTTTAAAAGATACGGTGGCCCATGAAGATAGAAAAACAGAAATATGAAATTCGTGATGAAAAACGAAAAGAAAGAAAGATCGTGTTATGTTTGATACCATAAAATATTTTTTTTTCTTATTTATCATTGTGATGAATAGTCAATTATATATAATAAAATAATACACCAACCGAATAACAGTAAACTAAGTAATGATATATGATACTGATTACAATAATACATGATAGACTGATAATATTAAGAAACACTAATAAAAAGCAAAAAAACAATACTTTATTTTCTTTCAGTACTTTGTTTTATTTTAATATTTCAGTTGTTTGCTTTTTTTTTCCTCTTTCTCTCATTCTTTTATTGAAAGAAATAAGATGTGAAATTGTAATTCTTACGATTACATATTTTATGTTAGAAATGTAAGGTGAGTCTGAAATTTTATATCGAATAAAAATAAATAAAATAATTAATATTTGAGTAGAATAATCCATAAAATTATTATTTTAAAATTTTCGATTAGAAGTAAGTTTATTCATAATTCGTTAGTATCAAATATTTTGGTATCTCATAAAAAATCTCATATTTTATGGACAATGGTCATTAAATGTAGTGTTCAAAAAGAATTCTAATTACAAATATGCCAATTTATTAATGCAGTGTAAAAAAATATTCTAATTACAATATTTGTAAAATTTATAAATGTCAATTTATTTTCACATAACTATTTTTCTTGCTAGAAATATGAGAACTCTTCACACTACCCTTTCAAATATCTTCAAATATATATATTTTTTTTTGTCTTTCTCTAATAGATTAAAAAACAATTTAAGAAAAAATAAACTTACATTATCTCTAACTAAATACATCTAAAATCAGCAAAATATTCAATAGTAGAAATAGATTTCAATATTTCGAATATGAAAAATTATGGACAATTTAGAATCACACCAATAATTTAGAATCACACCAATGTATTTTCTAACGGATAAACTGTTCAGAAATGGATTTTAAATCTAACTCAACCTCATAAAATCGGTTTGTAGAGTGAGATTTATATCCACTTATATATTTTAAATTGACCTTATCTCTCATCAACGTGGGACTTTCAACACACCTCCCACGACGAGGTATATACATCTCGAAGGTGAGATTATACATTAATGGGTGATCTGATAACGTCCGATCGAGGGTGAAACAATATGTTCACGCAAATCTCGTTAGGATAAGTTCTAAGAAATAGACTTTAAGTTTAATTTAACTTCATAAAACTAAGATGAGTTTTATATTCATTTTTATTTATATATATATATATATATATATATATATATATATATTATTATTATACATTGAGCTTGTCTGCTGAGGTGAAATATTAAATTTATATAAGCTAGTCAAATATTTAAACCTAAATTTGAGAAATAAATGTTACTCCTATTTAATTTCTCATATTTAATCGATTATTCAACTAGCCATGTTAGAGAATGATATTTTTTAACTTGATTGTAAATTATTATATTTAGTATTTAACTATGTATAAGTATATTAAATTAATAGTTAATTAATATTCTCATATTAAAGGATGGTTTAAGAAAGTATACCTAAATATCATAATATTAAAAAATATCAAAGTTGAAATTATATTGAGAGATAAGAGACATTGATTTATTTTCATAACGATGCTTAAAATATTTCTTTTTTATTTTATTTTCATCTCCAGTCTAATGATTAAAAGACAAGTTAACCTATTTTAAGTATAGCTCATCCGATCAACAACTCTTCATATATTTTAAACTTTGTTAGTTTT